AATGTTACATAGACTAGCGTTCTAGCACCACTGATGCTAGATAATATTATTCTTGATATTAAAAAAAAAAAAAAAGTTGGTTGGGCTTTCAAACGGACTGTCACATATAACAACAAAAGAATGCTTTATGAAGTGTAATATAATATAAATATTTTCTTGCCCAAAATATAACCAACATTGGTCAAATTGGCTCTTTTTCCTTTTCTTGAATTAGTATCAAATGGTGATTCATCATATTCCTTGGAACTTTATATCATCCCAACTTCAAGCCTATTAGATTCAGAGAGTAGTTGAGAACTTCATAAAGATTAGGAAGGTTTGGTTAATTTCCCATCTGTATCAAGCCACAAGAAATAAAATTTAGCAGACCTCAAAAATAAAAACATGAATACATATATAATTTCTACGTACTCATTTTTAATTACACATTCACACGATAAAACATTCTGCACGTAAACCCAAATTTTTTTTCTACTTTTTTATCGCACATTCTCCTGAAATCAGTTTCCAAAACTCATTTTTTCCGATTGTCAAATAGAGGCTTAATGTGTTTTTAGATAGACTAGTCATTGACCGATGAATCGAACTGTAGAGCACTATCTAGTCCAACAATATTAGATGAACCAATAGTATGGACTTTATTTATAGGTCCTTCGCATGCCACTTATAAATAAGAAGAGGGCTTTTTATTTCTCCAACTTTTGTTTGTTTCATCAAGCAAATCACAACAGAAATGAGCTATGCTTTTCAGCACTCTTTTACTTGCTTCTGCAACTTCTTTTTTCCTCACCTGTTTCTCTTTGTATTCATCTTTTCATCTAAAGCCACAGCTCGGAACCTAGCCAGTGTCGACAAGGCAGTGAATAATTCTGCTTCTGCTATATTAATTTTCGGAGACTCCACAGTTGATCCTGGAAATAGTAACTACATTACAACTCCATTTAGGAGCAATTTCCCACCTTATGGGAAAGATTTCTTGAATCAAGCTGCAACTGGAAGGTTTACTAATGGCAGACTTGCTAATGATTTTATAGGTGAGTTAAGAAAATTTTTGTTCTGTACGATGTTTAGATGTTCGTGTGCATGGATTTAACGGTGTCTGAATGTTATCAGCTAACTATGTTGGGCTCAAAGATTATGTGCCTCCATATTTGGATCCAAACCTCAGCACTCAAGAGCTATTGACTGGAGTCAGTTTCGCTTCTGCGGGATCTGGATTCGATCCACTTACACCGACGATAAGCGTATCTCTCTCATTCTATGCGAATGTGTTCGTTTTTTCAACTTAAACTTTTGGGCACGTGTTTATCTAAAAGCTTAAATTATTAAAGACAAATTTATTCGTCTAAGTTGCGTTCATCATGGCCCCTTTTTGCACACTAAGTTCATTTCTTCATCAAAACGAATTGGTGGTGCTTTAATTTCGTTGAACTACCTCATTTACAGACTTAACGTGTAGAGAGGGGGAAAACTAGTTATTTCTTAATATGGGTCTGAATATTTTTCACTCTGTAGTCTTCTTTAACCTATATGTACTGATATTAACTAGCGTATGTACGGATTTCTTTAATTTCAGAATGTGATATCAGTATCAAAACAGTTGGAGTACTTGAAAGAGTACAAAGCAAAACTGAAGGAGACAATTGGGAAGGAGAAAATGGAACAGTTGATAAATAATGCTTTGTTTGTTGTTAGCGCGGGTACAAATGACTTTGTCGTCAATTATTTCACGATACCAATTCGACGTAAAAACTACACTATCCCAACTTATATGGATTTTGTATTACAACAATCACAGCAGTTCATGCAGGTTCATTCCCTTACATATTACCTTTTTACGTCGTTTAAAGATCGAGTGCTATTGAGAATTTGCAACAAGTTTTGCTAAACCCTAAACGTGTTCAATTTTGTGAAGGGTTTGTGGGATGAAGGGGCTCGACGAATTGGAGTGGTTGGACTGCCACCGTTGGGTTGTTTGCCCGTCGTCATAACTATGTATTCTGACAATGCATTTCATAAACGCGAATGTATTGATAAATTCTCCTTCATTGCTCGAGATTACAATCTAAAGCTCCAAACTCAATTGAGCGCAATGCAACTCAAATTTGCAAACTCTGGCTCGCGAATTGCTTATATGGATGCCTACGGACCGCTAGAGGACATGGCCTTCCACCGCAACTATGGTACTTGGATCAACTTCAATCAAATAGATTTTATATGAATTAATGATTTAACATGATATCAGAGCATACAAATTTCAAATAATTTACTAGA